GTTTACACAAATATGTATATATCAAGTTCTTGAATTAATTTCCATCACACATTTATGAATGATATTACATGTATTTATGGATCGTTGAATCTGCATTTGCAAATCATCACACATGCGTGGACTGCTTTGAATTTGTGTGTGGTATTTTTTCCTGGCAGGTTAAGATTCATAAATATCTTTTTTTGGAGGATGTTCCGTTCAGCCAATCGCGGTGAGCTTTTAATCCACCAATCAAAACACTCTTTACTGAACATACTCAAGAAGCTCAACGCTGCGCTTGTAGTGTGCATTGTTTCTATGATCGGGTCCGTATGTGGGATGTAAAGACATTTTAATGGGTACTCTTTTTATTAGCACCTGATTACAATTTCTACAAAATCACATTATGATTTATATCGTTCGCACAAAATACAGCTACCCGGTTAGCCTGCTGTCTTATACACCAAAGTTGCACATACCCTGTTTATTCAGCCTTATTCAGTATTATTCGTAACATTTACAAGTACAAAACATACACTTTTGTACGTTTTTATTAATACTAATACGTACAGTTTAGACGTATTTCAACGTTTAAAACATACAAATCGCTACGTACTTTTAGCTAAAAAACATACAAATATTTACGTATCTTTTATATCATCAAGATATTCGTATCAATGCATTTTTATCAATAAGCAATTTAGATTTTTAGACCCCTTAACCTGCCCCCAAACCTTAACCTACCCATTTTATAGCGATATATAAAGGATATACAACTCAAATTACCGAAATACGCAGGAAAATAAATTTTTTTGTAACAATATAGCATTAAAATATATTTATAGTCGCTAATTCCACTCCTACCTATAAGCCTAAATATTTCTGTACAGTATAAAAAACATGACAGACAGATAAATGCAATTACAATCATTTATTTATTGCAAAAATGTCAAAAGCAGCACTAAAAGTAATCCAAATGACGATGCGTTGCACCCGCAGTCCTCTCTGGCGGAATACAGTAGGTTTGTGTGATCCAGAGCAGAATTTATGTTGTTAATCGCTGAAAATATTATCCAGATAATTTCCCCGATCCACTCCGTGAACTCGTGAAGGAACGCGCGCATCATTCAAACCCACTCCCCCAGAAACACGGCATGTCGCAATCTGTGACGAATGCAGGCGAGAGCCAATGAGCGTTCGATTATCCTGCCGTAAAACCTGCCGTTTGAAGCAGCAACATTTGAGCGCATCAGACAGCGTGGGCTTTGCTGCTTACGGTCTCTGGACTCGCTGCTCGAAAAAGGCTTGGATTTGGGTCTGTTCCTCGTTAATAATGCAATTGAAAACAAGGTCATTCATATGACAACTAAAAACTAATAAAATTAATGCCGCGATATCAATATTCATAAGGATTCATTTTTAGGCGTCGTCAATACGTCAGTTTTGTACGTTTAGATGCTGAAAATACGTCAGTATTGTACGTTTTAGTGCCTGTAAAAACGTAAGTAAATGTACAGTAACTTTTGATCAGGCATTAAAAACAGCTACCACCACCGAAGGGAGATTTCAAACACACAAGCGAAGAGATTCAGCACGGAGGATGAAAACCACTCAACGAGTGATTAAAGTCGATTTTTTATCTGATGGCATTTTCTTATTATTAAAGGTTGTTTTAGTTAATTAAGTGTGCAGTGTTACAAAGTTGTTAGTCCATGCCAGCTTTCTTATATTATAACTGGTGTTTGTAGGAACACTTTAGTAATCACAGGATGAATGGGCGATAAACAATCAGTAAAACTACGATTTCGATGCTAAACTATTGCATAATTTTAAATGCGATTTGTAGTCAGTGGGTTCTAAAGTTACGAAAATGCCATCAGATAAAAAAACGACTTTAATCACTCGTTGAGTGGTTTTCATCCTCCGTGCTGAATCTCTTCGTTGTGTGTGTTTGAAATCTCCCTTCGGTGGTGGTAGCTGTTTTTAATGCCTGATCAAAAGTTACTGCGAACCTGATACTACTACTAACAACAACAACAGAACACATTACATAATTGTTGTTATTAAATGAAATATCTGGACATTTAACACCTATTTGATAACATTACAGATTGAGCAACTTTGGTGTATAAGACAGCAGGCTAACCGGGTAGCTGTATTTTGATATTTAAAAAGATATTTATGAATCTTAACCTGCCAGGAAGGTCTCAAAAATACCACACACAAATTCAAAGCAGTCCACGCATGTGTGATGATTTGCAAATGCAGATTCAACGATCCATAAATACATGTAACATCATTCATAAATGTGTGATGGAAATTAATTCAAGAACTTGATATATACATATCTGTGTACACATTTTAAATTTATTTAGGTCATATTTATGAATTTTGTTTAAATATTAATGTATTCTTTTTTAGGCCGATCTGGCTCCATAGAAAGTTTTTCGGCCTGATGAGACCTATATGTGTATGAATTTTGGTGAGTGTAGATCAACGGGACAAGACCACAGGAACCAGATGAGTCCTCTGCACAATCTGACTTTGCTGCAGCCTGGAACTGAACTGCTGGTTTCGTCTGGTCAGAGGAGAACTGGCCCCCCGACTGAGCCTGGTTTCTCCCAAGGTTTTTTCTCCATTCTGTCACCGATGGAGTTTTGGTTCCTTGCCGCTTGCTTAGTTGGGGACACTTCATTTCCAGCGTTATCGTTGACTTGATTGCAAATGATTGCACAGATACTATCTAAACTGAACTGAGCTGGATGTTGACATCACTGAATTCAATGATGAACTGTCTTTAACTGAAACATTAGTGTTTACTATTGTCACTTTGCATTATTGACACACTATTTTCCTAATTAATGCTGTTCAGTTGCTTTGACACAATCTGTATTGTTAAAAGCGCTATATAAATAAAGGTGACTTGACTTGACATTTACTCCTCACTCAACAGCCCTTCCCGGACAGCAGTGTTGCCAGATAAAAACAAAATGAATAAATAAATAAAATGCCAAAAGGGCTATATACGGCTACACGCCTATTAGATTACAAAGGACATAATAGTTGTGCAGAAAACATGTCCTTTATTAATTTTACCACCGCAACAAATGTGTAGAACTAATAATCTAATATCTGTATACTATTATCATCACCTTCTATTGCTCCTATATTAAATATAAGTGTAGAGTTGTTGCATATGACGGCATATCTTTCCAAATGTAAATAGATATTAAGCAAAAACATAAGAAATGAAGTGTAGCAGTGTAGCATTAACTAGAGGGATGTGGCAACCCGCAGCGCGCGCTCCATGTGTTAGCTCAGCACTAGCCTGCATGCTGCTCATCTGATATAATCAGACAAAACACGGGACTTTAACAAACATATATATATATCGTTCGCCATTGATCGAAATGGCAGCGATTGCAGTGCCAGAAAACACCAGAGTCTTTCTTCTGGACATTGAAGGGACCACGACGCCCATCACGTTTGTCAAGGTAAGAGCTCACAGAGAAGATAGACGAGCACAGATCAGACTCGGTATGTCCCGTGGTTTATTGTGATATCGCTTGCATGCAGGAAATCCTATTCCCCTTCATCAGAGAGAATCTGGAGGAGTATCTGTCTGCTCACTGGGAGGAGGATGAATGCAAACAAGACGTGCATCTGCTCAAGAAACAGGTCAAACACACCGTTTATCTTATTTTTACATAGGAATAGTCACTGTTTTTAAAAATGCGCATTATTTCCATTTGTATTAACACACTGTACTGCAAAACGGGTGCAACTTTTAGTTCTCAATCGTTTGCATTAAGGGAAATATAATAAAACACCTTCAACCCCTCGTAGACCTTCTGAAGACATATTGACAGAAGTGAAACTCTTGAATCTGTGCTGGTAAAACAGTCATGCAATGGTGTTTGGACCTGTAACATGGTAATGCAATGTTGTGCAATGGAAAAAATGCATGCAAACTAAGTCTGGGACAGATACCAATAGACAGTGTAGTGCATAGGGCTGTGAAATATTGCATATCGCTACTGCTTGCAATATTTGGGGCCATGAACAAAAGACAAAGAGAGACTCACTCACTGCTCTTAACTAAATAACTTTTGTAGCTTAAATAAGAATCAGTGCATATTGAATTAAACACTAAGCAGTGTTTTATTTTTCCTTTTTATTATTCAGCTCCTAACTCATGTTAAAATTACTATTATGTAATGCTCGAGTAAAACACTACCATTCACTTACATTAGAATCAGAATCAGAATGAGCTTTATTCACCACTTAAGTGTGCGCAAACACAAGGTTTGTGGTTTTACAGGAGCTCTTGTGCATATTGAATTAAACACTAAGCAGTGTTTTATTTTTCCTTTTTATTATTCAGCTCCTAACTCATGTTAAAATTACTATTATGTAATGCTCGAGTAAAACACTACCATTCACTTACATTAGAATCAGAATCAGAATGAGCTTTATTCACCACTTAAGTGTGCGCAAACACCAGGTTTGTGGTTTTACAGGAGCTCTTGATACATACAGGTGCATCTCAATAAATTAGAATGTCGTGGAAAAGTTTCCTCCAGACAACACACAGACAAAGTACAAATATAGAATACAAAATACACTGCTGTTCAAAAGCTTAGGGTCATTAAAATCGTTTATTCTCGAATATTTTTTTAATTAATATTTTTGAGATTTTGTTCCAGCAGTACAAACAGAAAACAAATATATCCATATAAGGTGTACACAATAGAGAGGAAAAATAAATAAATACATAAAATAATCAAATGAAAGAAATGGATTACAGGGGAACAGATGGGTTACAGGGGCAGAATAATTCATTTGAATAATTAATTAAATTATTTATTAATCAAGGACAAATTAAATTGATCAAAAGTGACAGTAAAGACTTTTAAAATAGAGAAAATATTTCTATTTCAAATAAATGCTGCTATTTTGAACTTTGTATTCATCACAGAATCTTAAAAAAAAAGTTTCCATTAAAATATTAAGCAGCACAAATGTTTTCAACATTGATAATAATCAGAAATGTTTCTTGAGCAGCAGATCAGCATATTAGAATGATTTCTGAAGATCATGTGACACTGAAGACTGGAGTAATGATGCTGGAAATACAGCTTTGATCACAGGAATACATTACATTTTAACATATATTCACATAGAAAACAGTCATTTTAAACTGTAATATTATTTTACAATTAATCAAATAAATGCAGCCTCGGTGAGCACAAGAGTCTTTCAGACATTTAATAAATCTTACCGACCCCAGGCGTTGGATTGATAGTGTAGCTGTTGTAATCTCATTGTATAGCTGCTGTTGTCACTAGATGCAGTAACAGAGAGTTATGTTGTAGTGTTGCTGTGGTTTTGTGGCAGGGTGTACCCGGATGTGGTTCCAGCCATCAGATGCTGGAGGCGTGGAGGTCTGAAGGTCTTCATCTACTCTTCAGGAAGTGTGGAGGCGCAGAAGCTGCTCTTTGGCTATTCTGTCGAAGGCCATCTCTTAGATGTAAGCTTGATCTGTTCGATTCGAAGCACTGTTTAGACGGGGTTCGTTTTCTTTCTTGTGCTGCTCACACCAGATTCGGATCTCTTTAGTAGTCTCTATTAGTGCTGTGTTCAAAATATCGATACAACGATGTATCGTCACCGAGATTTGACGATACGAGTATTGATACAGCTGGCCCTGTATCGATACTGTGGCATGTGTGCAGCAGTGGACCACGCTTAATTTTACAACGTTTAAAATTGAGTAGAAAAGTGCGAGGTTTCTAAAAAAGAATGAATAGAGCATCTGTTAATAATCTGGCCGCAGAGGAACACAACGGGGTTGCCGGATATAAAGAGACGTAATCCCCAAAACAGAGCTTTACACTTGCGCAGTACGGAAATATCTGCTAAACGTGCTACTTATCTTTGTCAACCTGGCAACCCTGTGCTCACGCACTCTCTCTCCACTGGATAAACGCGCTTGCTTTCTGAAAACACCGCTTAGCTTGCAGTTTAGTTATCTCCACTTCAAGTCTATTCTCAGAAAAGTGTGATTCATCAACTGTTCATTTATGAAAGAGAGAACTCAGAGGCTGTGTATGTATGAATTACCACCGTTTTGCCGTGTTTCTCTATTAACAGTGAAGCTGTGGCTTTAATTCCTTTAGAAACAATGATGCTACCAGCTCCTTGTTGAGAAAGATAATGTAGCTCTTGAGCGATTAAGCTATTTAGTTGATAAAACTGCGGGGCGGCGCTAAAAAGTTTGTTCCTGAATGTCTGAGTGCGGCCGCAACGTGATCGGTGTGAGTGACTGCACTTGACATCAAACTGCTTCTGTTTCACACAAATGCTGGCACAGACGTGCATGTTCGGCTAGAGTCGCTCTGAACTCGTGCATCTTCGGAAGCAGAGCTGCGCAGAAACTTAAAAAAAATGTTGTGCACACCGCCACGCGAAACGACGTCGCGCGCACTCAAAGCGAACTTGCGGACGCGGCGAGTATAAATCAGCTTTGAGCGTGTGTGTGCGTTAGAGACAGTGAAGACAGCGCGTTAGTTTAGAACTCTTCT